AGTTTTTTAGGGGTAGGTGGGAAGAGAGGAGATCTGAGCAGGGAGGGAGGGAAAAGGCCAGTTTAGGGCCTCTTGGGTGCTTGCCTCGACTGCAGCACTTAACCTCCCCTGCCCATGTGCCCAACTCAGAAAATCACTTCATCCTTCCCAATGAGTAAACCAGCTCCTCTCTCCTCAGCCCACGGGGATCCTACCTAAGCTTTAGCTTAGTGCCCCTGGAGAGCCAAGTGATTAAATAGAGCCTTAGGGGACCAGCTCACACTTCAACATCGAGAGGTTTCTTGCAGGGAGCGTGTGTCAGAGCTAGGAGGCAAGAAGAGACACCGGCCCCTACCCCAGGCCCCAGCCCTCCTCGGCAGAGTCCTGGGTAGCCAGCCACACTGGGCAGCTGCCTTCTTGCCGTGTCCAGAGATTTCATGTACAAACAGGAAAGAATGTAACCTCCCGTCCTGGCAGATTTGGGTCAGCAAATGGGCGTGGTTAGGCACAACTGCTGCCTGCACAGCAGTTGTGTGCTTGGGAAAGCCTGCAGGTAAAGGTGAGATATACCGCAGGACCCCAAACCTCCCAATTACTGGAGTAATATATATTTACTGGACATACATGTTTGCCTTGAAAAAAATAATTTTACCTGGTCAGGTCTCCTGTGGACTAGTCATTTCAGAAGACGCACACAGCTACACTTGTGTTTGCAGGATCAGGGCCTTTTAAACCACAGGGCTCGATATGCATATAAAGCACACCTTGCAGGCCTGAAGAGTCTGGAGCAGGATTATTGTAGCTGCGCCAATTGAAATTTCCGTGTGACTCATAAACAGCCAGATAAGTAATGAGCAGACTGATGGCGGCTTAAAGAGCTAACGAAGCTCTGAACTGCAGGACTCTGGATCTATTGGCACTGAGCAGGAGATTTCCAAATAGAGCGTTTAAAGGTGTATAGCGCAAGCTATGAGATACTTTCATACTTGGAGCTTAAGTATTTGGTCAATATATATATGGACTAAGTAATTAACAAGTAAAAAGAGCATGAAAAGACACAAACAGAAGCAGGTGACAGGACACAAAATAATGTGTGAGAAACTGCATGATCCCCATAGCAGGAACTGATTAAATGTGCACAAATGGAAGCTGTCCCTTGGAGTTCAGGCTGCTGGAATAAAGAAGGTAGAAGAAAACAACATCCCAAACCTTTGCAATTCTTGCATTTGTCCTGTGGGAAAGCTTTAAACTTAACACTGTGGCTTAATGCTCACTGTTCAGCCCTATTTTGGCTTTTCAAAGAGATGCTGTCAAGCTAATCCTGTTATGCTTATCCTTAGTGTATTAACATGAAAGAGACAAGTGAAACACAGGGCACAGCGAGGTCCCTTTGCCCGTGTGCAGAGCTTTGTGGGACCATGGCTGCTTATCAGAGCAGCTGGATTTTTCACCTTTACCCCTAGATCTGATTGTATACTGGTGCACTGTTGCATGTGCCAGGATAAGGCTTCCCAGGCTATAGGAAGAGTACTGTCTTGTGATGCAATTCCAAAATGGCTTATGAAGTGTGTGCAAAAAGTCACCTGTCAACTAAAAGATTGCAGACAATATGGTGCAGGAATAAGCCCCTAGGCAGACTCTTTTTTGCATCCTCCCTTGTCTCATACCACCTCACCATTATTTGCCTTTTATTTATGCTGCAGTTTCCAGCAGTCAGTTGCAAAGGGTGGCTGCTCCCAGGGCTTCCATGCAGAGGCAGGAGAGATTCTGACAAAATCAGGGGGATGTTGTAAAATCAGGAATTTTGTGGAAAGTCTGGTCTAGTTTGGGTCTGGTATCAGACAGGTTTAAAAACTAACAACATGCCCCTCTAGACTGTAAGTGTCTGGGTCTTCCAACAGGCCATTTAAAAATTGTGCACAGAGACAACAAAAGACCATCCAGTAATAAAAATCACCCTGGTGCTTACTGTTGTCCAAGTGCAACCTGCTCAAACTCTGTGCCACTTTGTTATGGTTGAAACAGAAGTCCACCCTGTTCCTGCTAAAAAAAAAAAAGATGTTACAATGAGCTACCTGTGCTATCAATTGACAGCAGGGGAAATTAACAATAATTTCTTTGGCCAAAGCTGCAGAGAGATTAGTTCTGTAATGCACGAACAGCCAGCTGGAGCCATGCCAAGGCACAAAGATTAAAAGCAACCAAATTCCTAACTCTAGTGAAAAGGATGCATGGGACATTATTAAAATAAATGTTTAGTTATGCAAATACAGGTACAAGGTAAGAATGTGCCCTCTCTGAAAGCACTACGCTGCCCCAGACACTGGGGAAGCATCTCCCTTTTTTTCCTCCCTGCTCCGCCTTCCCTGATCAGCTGGACTCTGGCTGCTTGAAAGAGGTAAAAAAATAAGACTGGAGATTAATTGCTCCTGCACTGCCTCCAAGACATGGGTTCCTGATCACCACTCTCCTTACTTAAAAACCTCCCGTTTGTACCACCATGGGGGACAGGCTTCTCAGCACTTCCTGAGAAGCGAGAAGGGGAGGTCACGCAACAATCCGCAACTGAAGAAGAGAGGCTGAATCTCCTGCAGCACCTGAAAAAAAAAATCTCTCAACCATTTATAAGACAGCATTTCTTTATTGCCTGTACTCTGCTTGCACACTAAGAAAACATGCTTAAGGTTGCACAATAAAAAACCCCATGTGGTAGTTCTTGCCGTTGCAGTGAGACAGCACTGATAAAGGTAGTACGTAGCCTGACCTGCATTTGTGTCAGCTGTATTTCACACCTTTGTCTTTCATGTGCTGTGTACACAGTGTGGGAGGTGCACATTCAGACCATGTTAGCAGACTGGCTACTGCTCTCTTCTGCAGCAACTTCCCAAATCCTGCTGCTGCAGGTAAGTAAGTGTTAGCATTACTGATGTGCCTCAACCAAAGATGCCAGTTCTTAGTCAGCGCCGCTCCTTATTAACCTGCAACTGGAGCATGATGCAGAGGAATCGACAGCAGCTCCCCCAGCTTGGGTAGTGGGTTTGACCTGTTCAACAGGTGATAATGTCAGTGCTCCTTCAGGCCCACATTGGCTAGAAAGCCAGAAAGCCCTGTCTGTGTTCAGATTACAGGTGCTTTCTGAAAACAGAGAGGATTTCCCTTCCCAAACATTGTTTCTTGCAACACAAGCAGTTCCACTGCAGCACTGCTGGTGTTACTCTAGACTCCACACCAGCAGCCCTGATTCCTTCTGGATCTAACTTTCTGATCCTGTCTCTGGAAGGCATTACTGCAGTTAAACACAGCGTAAACCACAGCCAGCCAGCAGTAAGGACTGAGCAGGAGCTTATTACTTTTAGCTATTCCTTGTAGTCAGGAATCCTGATTTTCCAGAGGGAAACAACTTCTTTCCTATCAGGAGTAAAGAGCACTGGCAGGAACCACAGAAATTCTTTGTAACACTACAGGCTGTAGGTGACTCAGAGTGCTTTTCCTGCATGGGATATTCCCAGAGAAATTTGTGCAATAAACAGACCTTCAGAATAATTGCCTTATCCCAAGAGAGGAAAGACAGTGGATAAATATAGGCCTTCCCTATGCTGCAGGGTTGGGGGGACTGCTTCACAGCCGCAGTATCACGTCTTGCACCTAAATTGTTGAAGTCCAATACAGAAACAGGCTCAAAGAAGAAAGGGAACAGGGCATTACAAAAAAGTCTCACTTAGTCCCACAAGGCTTTAAGAGTAACTGAGCTACAAAACAGAAAGCATCACACCCCAGAGAACACCAGGGGCTTCAATGCCCAGGCACAGCGGCAGCTATGCAGAGAGGCACACTTTTGGGGCCAGTTCCTACCTCAGCCCATGCTTCCCCTCACCCTGCTTTGCCCCACTCCTTAGTGACAAGAAGGTCCCTTCCCGACGGGAACAGGTTCAGTCTTGCTCTTTCTCAGGCCCTTCACCAGGAAAGTGAGGTTATTGCGCAAGGTCACTGCAAGAGAAAAAGCTTCGCTAGGTACATTTCACACAGGCAGCTGCCTTGTGCTTCCAGCCGAGGTACAGTTGAAAGGACTGTGGTCAAGCTAGCAGGTGGGGATCTTTCAGTACTGCAGGTAAGTCAGTTCCTAGTGGCTGGAGATTCTTCAGGAAAGGATAAGAGAATGGGAGGAAACAGGCAACATTCAGCCTTAAACCAGGCTATATGTGGCCCCCCAAGTATGAACAGCACAGCTCCTGCAACAGGTTATGAATCAGCAGCGTGTGCCAGCGCCTGCGAGTCCCAGGGCAGCTGCTCTGTGTTCTGTAAACAGAGAGGGACAGTGATGAGGTCCATTAGGGTAACAAAGTGAAGAAAGCCATCGGGATGACTCGTTTTATCAGTTCATACTATATCCACTTACGGAATCAGTTAACTACAATATTGGCAAGTCAAACCAAATTTCACAGTAAATACAGGGCCTGATCCAGATCTTACAGGAACTGATGGAGGTTTTCCTGCTTACCACAGCAGGCTTTCAGCTGGGCTCTGCTATTACAGAACCAAGAGGAGATGCAGTTCTTTGAGATGGATGGATCACTACCGAGAGCCAACCCAAATTTAAAATAATTTCTTTATCTCTTACACTAAAATTCTATTTAACACAGCGCCCACTGTGCCCTCCACTCTCTGCTGCTAGGCCACTTCTTTGCCAGAGAGAAAAGGAACAAGATTTCAGCCTTTTACAGGGAAGTGACCTCTCCAGACAGAAGGCCCAGTTTGTGCTATTAGCCAAGACCAGCCAAATTCCCCCAAAGAAGCAGAGGCCTCCAGAGACCAGGGCTGCGTGCAGAGTAGGGAAATGGAATAATGCAGGTCATGTGCACATTTTGGCCTGATTTAGTGCCTTGAAATTCCCAGATGGGGAAAAGCTGCAGATTCCCCGAGTCTCTGCAGAGCTGATACCATCAGATTCGGCTTGCTCGAAAGGAACCCCAGCTTCATGAAATAGTGTTGGCACATGTCTCTTGCTGACACATTGATGTGCCTTATGTACAGCACACTTTCCTCCTGCTGACATCTTCCAGCTGCAGGGCATTCTCCCTCTGCCTGTCTTCTTGTGCTGTCAGCAACCTGGAACAAGCAGCACAGATCAAGAACACAACCTGGTTACCGAGATCCTCCTGCCAAGGCATTTGGCTCTGCCTCTGGATCCCCATCAGCCAGGGACATCTAGGATTGTAAAAAGTGACTGGCCCAAAGACCGGGCTTCTCTGGAAGTTGGGCTAGATAAACCACACACAGAAAATGAGCATGAATTTCCAGGGAACAGGGAAAGAAACTGAACACATACAAGAGGGGACAGCATGGCTCAGTAGTCAGAGCACCAGACTGGGGCACGAGTGGTCTGTGCCTTATTCCCAAGCTCCCACATTGATGGCAGAATCCCGGGCTGTTTGCTTCACCTGTCTGGGCCATCTCGGGCAGCAGCATGGTAATAAAGCATGCTGAAGGCACATGCTATGGGAGACATGATTTACCTGACTAGTAAGTAAATCATCCCAGTTAATGAACAGCTAAATCCTACTGTGAATTTAACAGAGATGGTGCAGCAAGAGGTGAAGGGATAAAACAAAAGGATATTTTTCTTGCAAGATTTCAAAGACTTTTTTCAAAACTACTTGCTTTTTTAAAACAAAAAATCTTAGAGCAAACTTCTTTTAGCCTTACAAAGTGTCTTTAAAAATACTGCCACCAAAATATCACATTCTGTATAATGCTTACTAAGGTAAGGAAGAAAACATGCTTAGAGGTGCATGCAGACTTCAAACTGAAAATGCCAACTTAAAATCTGGGATAGTACACAAGGTTTTTGTGGTGAAATATTCAGATTAAACTCCCAATCATCCAACAGCCAGCTCTGCCAGACAAAGCTTTGCATGCGATAGTGTCCAGTCTACACTTGGTGCTCTTCTGGCACAGAAGACAAGGACCTGGAGTCAGGGGGAAGAGCACATTGCTCTAGGTCTTTTTTGTGACATGGCAGAAAGTCAGTCTGTGACAACCCCCTCTTCTTGCCCATTCCCCAGGAGAGCCCACACCAATCACCTACAGGTGGGGAAATATCCCAGGGTGACTGTTCCTGTTCACTGACCTGGCCATGTGCAGCATGGGCTCCATGATGTTATAGCCAGTCATCGCGCTGCACTCGTAGAAGACAGCCTTGTATTCCTGCCAGAGAGCGCAGCAAGCACCCGTGTTGGCCGCCAGCTCTCCCCACCATTCACCCACACCCCCGGGAGCTGGCCCACCCTCGCAACCGGGAACTCTGACAAGAGCAGTTGGGGCCAGGAGGGTGGCTGTTACCACCCTGCTGGGGCGCACACCCTGCTCACCAACCCAGGAAAAGGAGATGCTTTTTCAGCATGGGGGCCCAGCCAGAGTGTCCAAAAGGGAACACTGGGGAAGTTATTTGGGAAAACATCTGCCCAGGGTACTTGGATTCTCTTACCTTTGTGTTGCAGAGTCCAGAAGATGGAGAACACCTCTGAAAGCCTGCCTCCCCCCACCCAGGGGCCAAGGCACCAGTGGGCATGCAGACGCAGGGAGTGAGGAAAGAGGCAGGATGATTTTGCACAGCATGCATTAGGGGAGTCCTCAAATGGGAAAACAGCCATGCATGCTCCTCTCAGAAAGAGTGAGCATCACTGTAAGGAGGCATCAGGCCTCAAGAGAAATACGTGAGCATGCCTCAAGGGCTGTTGTCTGCCACATGCTGGCCACCACCTCATCCTCCCTGGTACCAGAGGGACCTTGGTACATGTCTGCGTTGGAGAAACAGGGGAGGGGGAGAGGGAAGGTACCATACTGGGAAATGGCTCCAAGAAGGGCTTCCTGCCAGCCAGGCTGCCCTGCTCACAGCTGGAGGAAGGCTGCAGAGCACAGAGTCACACCTTCGCCAGCCTTTCCCCCTCCATTTTGGGCACATTCCGTGTCTCTCTCTGTGCAGCATCCTTTTTATTTCCAAGCAGAAAGACCACAGCTCCATCCTCAATACCTTCCTGAAAAAAACCCAAACAACAAAACAACAGAGTAAAGCACCCTAGAGACTCAGCTGAGGGAGGGAAATATCTTGGAGCAGATCCTGTTCCAGCTCATGCAAAGATGACCTTCAGTGGCAGCAGGATCAGGCCCTTTAGCTCATTAAAGGGCCATTCCTCGAATAGCTCCAGGGATTTGTGGAAGGAAGCTTAAACTATGGGAACGTATTTCAAATGTTTGGTATGTACAGCTGGGATGCTGAGAGAGGGGAGACAGGACGTAAGTTCCTCTCTGGGAAATAACAAGTCTAAAGAAAAGCAAGTTTGCCCCATAGGCTGTTCGGAATTTAAGTTCAGGCAGACCTTCTTATTAAGTTCAATAATTTTTGGGTGTATGTGCAGTACTATTCATCTGATGTGCTGTCCTAAACTCAACCATCCCTTGCTGAAAATTCACTAGCCAAGTAAGCTAAGCAACTTTCAACTCTCGTGTAGGGTCTCTGTAGGAACTGTTACTCCTAGGCGATTCCTGGAGCCCATTGCCTTTGTTAAAACTCCCTCTAGTTCCACGGGCTCATTAGAACATCACCAGAGTAAGGACTGCAGAATAGGGCTCCAGGTTATTTCCAAACTTGACTGCCCTGGGTGACTTACAGTACCTGAAGAGCTTCAAATCAAGTTAAATACTAAGACGGGGAAAGGAAAAGAAGAGAGATTATTAAAAGTTACAGATTTTGGGTGCTTTCATTTTCTGTGTGCTTAATTTAACCTTCCTGAAAGGAGCCTGATTTTCAGAGGCTGGTTAGTTTTGAAAATCTTAACCTTTGATCTTTTATTAGTCCAAAGAAATAGCGAAGTGGTGGGTTTTTTCCCTAGCAGGCCTATGGAGGGAAGTTAATATTAGAAACGTCCAACCTATGCTTATTCATTTCACTTAGATTTTGTTTTTTGAGACTCCACACAATCAAAACAAAACCACCCTTGACAATTTCCCTTCAGCTCTGAGTCATCTACACACAACTTATTGAAATCATACAGACAGGTATTTTTGTTTCTGCTAGCAGATACAAGCCACAGATGAATGCTTTTAATGAGAGTTTGGAAATAAAAAGCAGGGGTGTAGACTATAGTATTAATACACAGTCACCAAAAAAAAAAAAAATCAACTGTTGAAGCAAATGAGGAAAAAAATAAGCTATTACTATTATTTCAGTCTCATCTAGAAATCTCAAAGCAGAGTCAGGATGTGATTGTGCAAAGCACTCTGCATGCATGCTGCAGGTCTGAGTCTAAACGCACCAGGGCCATCTCCCTTTCCTGTGCATAGGCTGGACACCAGGACATCTCCTTGCCTGAGCACAGGTGTGATGTGACCATGTTTAGGAGATGTTGCCAATCCATATGGGCTGCTTACAAACACACACTACTGTTTTGGCAGGTCCCACCACCTTCTGCCACAGAAACAGCCCTCTCTCATTTAATGAGCTACCACTGGCTTTGGTATCTTCAATAAGAAGCCCCTTGTCCCAAACTGACTACCACAGGCAGTACCCACAGCATCTGCTTTGATAATTATTCTTCCCATGATCAATAGGACCTCCTGGGACATCAGAGAATGTCGCTCCCAGACAGAGTGTTGGAGCTTGTCTGGAGCAAGGCAGCGGCAGCACCACCAGCATTACAGAACTGAGGTCCCGCTCTCACCTGGACACTGCTCATCCAGTTCCGCACCGCCATGAAGGAGCACTCGGCCGTAATGTCGTACATCACCAGAATCCCATCTGCCCTCCGGAAATACTGCTTGGTAATGCTCCGAAACCTGAGCCCAAATGAAACCAAAGGCACTCTCAGAACCATGGCTGTGTAATGACAAGAAACAGAATGGGATTATCTGTCTTTTAGTGCAGGCTCTCTGCAAGGCCTGGCAGACTCTGTGCTTAAGATGTGTCCCCTGGGGCTGGTGTGTACAGACTGGTGACAAACAGGTCGATCCTTGCACCTTTGAGGCCAGGCCAGGCAGCCATGGGTAAGCAGGAGTCTTTCCAAACACATGGTGCTGAGAAAGCAGGAAGGAAGACCTTTGCAGGTCAGGAGGAAAGAAACAGAAAAATCTGTTTAAGTGGGATAGGAAAAAGTAACTGCCCATAAAAAGGGAAGTGGGTGGAAAAAACATGACCTTTCTCTAGGGTCTGGAAGAATCTGCAGACTATGCTGTACCACAGTATAAACTAGGTGTGCATAATGTCTGCCCCAGTGCTGCCAAAACAGCAATTAAGATCTCAGCATCAATACAGTCTGTTTGCAGTTTTGAATCTATAAAGCAATGCCATCATACATAAAATCAGCAGTTAGGCACAACTTCCAGGAGAAACTCCCAACAGACATCTCCTTTGCCCTGGGGGTACCAGTTAGAACCACAGACTTGTATTTTGGGAATAAATGCCAACAACAACAACAACAAAAAACCCCAAAACAAACAGAACCCACACACACATAAAATCGGTAAGCAGTTTGTGGCAGGGCCATGATATAACCACATTGATTGCAAACTGATAGAATTAAATGCAACACAAGTACTGAGATCTCACTGGAGAGCTGTGTATTTCAGCCCTGCACAGGATAACAAGCTCTCCTATACTATTAAGAGCCACAAAAACCTGCAGCAAGTAGTGACCCTCCTGAACTCTTCAGATGATTGCCTGAAGCTTGTTCTTTCTCACTAAGGGCATGACATTCTGGCAACTATCGAACCGAGGAAGCACAGACTCTTATCTTTGGCAGTCAAGGCAGGCTAGATGCTCCAGAAGAAACATCAAATGTAGCATGCACTGGTCTCAGGGAAGCACAGTCCAAGGGGTTCCTCTCTCTCTTCCATAGGATATTCACGGTTGGACACCTCCAGTTAGAAGTAATTAATATTTCTCTAGAAGTAAGAAAAGCTTTTGCTTCTTCCCAGGTCTCCTATTCAGTATCAGCATTGAGCCAAGTTCTCTCTTGCAAGCACACATTTAAGACCTGCTAATGCTGCAGGGTCCCACCCTAAAGTTCCTTCTGCAGAGACAGTATCTTGAATTTGGCCTCTGATGCAATCTGGCCTCAGTGAAATGTCACACTTCCTGTCACAACAATTCCCCTTGCTGCTCAGCTTCAGCACTGAAATAACCACAGGGGTCCTCTCAAAAATCATTATTTCTTCAGCATGAAGCTTGATTTTAGAAGAAATTGTTAGCTTTTCAATAGATACTCCTACTTAGTACACTCTCACCAGGTCTGCGTGGTCTAGCTGACTGAGGTAGACAGCATCATTACTCTTGGCACAGCTCAGGATTATAATATTCCCATGACCTCAGCTGCCTCCCATATTTAGCCCAAAATACCCAGTGCTTATTTTTGCCAGGCTCTTGAGGTTAATGGCCCCTTGAAATAGCTTTTCATCTTCAGCTTCAAAGTGCATCCTAAGTAAAGTTTAATTTACATGAAGGTAGTGGTGGGCCTACATCTGTAGTAGCAGATGAGGGTCAAGTGTGTTCTTTGCTACTCTGATCCTCGCCAATGGTGCTGGTAACATCTAGTGATGGCCCATGCTTTTGAAGCTAGAGGTCTTCAAATGGGGAACCTGTATTCACTGTTGCAAAAATCTACACTGCCCCTCTACCAAGGATTATCACTTTCATGAGTCTATCAGCAGAAAGGACAGTGGAAGGGGCCAATAACCTCACTGACAGAGTCCAGCAGAGTAGTTCAAATCACAGGTCAAGCTAATTCAGCTGGCTTTGTCTGAATCAGATCAGTTCACACACTCCTTTCCACCCTCTGAATAGCAAGTGGTGGTGAGCAGCTGGGCACAACTGAATCTAAGAACAGGATGTCTATCCAGAGCCTTCGTTTCCATCCTAATCTGCAGCCCTGTCCTGCAGCTTTTCCCAGAAGCAGGCTGATGCAGGAGTGCTTTGAGGGCTAGAGGAGCTTCAAACCCCATACCACACAGTGATTTATGGATAGACTGCCTGAAGCCATAGGCATGCAGGTCAGACATATGGAAAACTACTTTTCCATCACTCCTCAGAGCAATCTCCCTGGGCCCTGCTTCGCAGCCACAGCTTCTAGGAATCTTCAGAACAGACCTTTGCTGCAGGTTCAGTACTGGAATAGCTGCTGTGACCTCTCTGGTCCTTCTGAAGCTAACAATTTTCCCAGAGACAGAAACTAGGTGCACGCACTCTTTTCCTTTCCTCCTGTTTCCCACACTCAATCTGGCAGTAGGGCATACTCACAGAAATTGCTTACCTTTCCTGTCCAGCTGTATCCCACAACTGTAAGACAACCTGGGTGTTATCCACCATCAGACTCTTCACCTGGTAATCAATACCTATCAGGAAGGTAACAATTTTCATAAGATAGGATGGGGAGAGAGCAGCTTGCCATTGCAAGGTCAATGGCCAAGATCAACACCATTTAGTTCAGGGAGATTGCAAGATTGATTTGAAATTGGCTGAGGGACTATCTCTACCTTTAGCTAGGCTAAAATACGGGCAAAAAACATGTGTCCAGACCGACTTTCCCACCCTTCTTAGCCAGATGAGTCAGGAACCCTATTACTTACCAATGGTTGCATTGAGCTCAGCTAAGAACCTGTCATAGCAGAAGCGGTGGATGAAGGAACTCTTCCCAACGCCGGAGTTCCCTACAAACACCACTTTAAAGATGCGGTCTGGGGAACAGCTGGCTGGTTCCAGTGCCTGGAGCTACAATGGAAGAAAGGGATGCAGTTTTAAAAAGCCCAGATGCAGACTGTGCTTTGGTTTAGGCATTGGATCCCTTGCACTATAAACCTATGGAGCGGGAGTTAGATGGGAAGAGTCAGAAACCCTCAAATCCCTGGTAGCACAGCTACCACTAGTGTTTGAGGAAGAATCCCAAGTAGACTCACCCTGGTTTCGGTGCCAACAGGCTGTCCTCTAGGAGGCAATGGAGCATCATCTAATCCATCTGCATTTTTTCTACAGTCAGCGTCACCCTTCAAAGTCATCTTCAACCACTCAGCATCTGCTGCCAATGACCATCTCTCCTTGTCTCTGCTCTTCTCTCCGAAGTTTGTGCTGCCTCCTCCTGTCTTCAGCCATGTCCCGTTGTCTGGGAAGTATTTACAGTTCTTTCTATTGGGTTCTTCCACTGCCACATCCACCGGGAAGGTGAGGGGAAGGTCCACAGAGGCCAGTTGTCTGTATTAAAGCCCACAGGCACCACAAATAGGGTGGGAG